ACATTACATTAAAATGTATGTTTAACAGTACTGAATGGTGTGTTTTTTTCTTCAGCAAAATATGGTTCAGTTTAAAAATTAAAGTAAGAATGTTGCACTAGCAGATCACCTAACATTTTCAGGATATTAACACATTTTGTAAAACCACAGTTTTTGTGCAGTGAGAATCTAAATATATATAATTGGCTACTGAAAAACAAACATAGTGTATGTTGAAGGATTTTAAAGAAAGGGGGGAACCTTTAATTTATAGAGGAAAACAAAAAAAGTAAATTATTTGAAAGATACAGCTGTTTATTTGTCAGATTAATGTGCTTAAGCCTTAACTTTCAAAAAAGAACATCAGGTTGCCAAGTCTGTAAATTTCTGTCACTGCATTTGCTAATTATACGAGTATTATTTTAGTGTGCCAGCATAGCTCTATCCAAAGCTTTTGAGCTGCGTTTTAAGCCAAACATGCTATTTAGGCTGAATATCTAATTGCATGAAAAAGCAGATTGTGTTTGGCTCCTATTTTGCAATATGAACTCCTTACGTCAACATGCTGGTTGTGTATTTGCTCATGTGATAAAAAGCTTGTCCTGATTATTTTGGCTTGTAGCACGGAGCAATTTTTAATGCAGGTAATGTGATACACTAATACATTAATGCTCTATTTACCCTGCAGCAAGGTAAAAGGAAAAGTGATCCTTTATTATTTTCACCGTTATTTTTTTGTTCTCGAATGACTTGCCTGCACGAAAAATTCTTAAATTGGAAGACAGCCAGAAAGGGCTGATGCTTAAGCAACCAAGACTGAGCAGTGCCCGCGTGTGTTTCAATCTCGGCTGGCCACAGTAAATGTTATTGGAATTTTTGTGCTGTAAAATTGCTGCTTTCATGCCCACTGCATCTGACAATAGCAATCCTTAGTCAAGTATGAGGGTGGGAGGCTGACGTGCCTACAAGTCGGATATGTGCATCCTGTTAAAATGGGGTTAGTACTTGACTGACTTCTTAATAGGGTAATTGACAATGAGATCCATGTCAGCACTGCAGTCAGACACAGGGAGAAGCCAACTTTACACAGAAGCCCCTTTACCATATCTAACGGACTAAAAAAGACACTTCCCTTAAAGCATAATTTATCTACCTTATCTACCTGGAAAGGCAAATACATCATTATACGAAGTTCTAATTATATTGTACAATTTAACAGATTAATGGACTCATTCATTAGTCACTTCCAGTTCAGGCCTAATTCTGGTCTTGAACACCTGTCCATCTTACTCTATGCCCTTAGGCACAACTTAACTTGCCCTTCATTCTGAAATTCTCTTCGCATTTATAGGCAATTAAGAATGATTGATTAGAACTGAGAATGAGTGATTTCCTGATAATAGATGAAAGGAAGAAATGGATTATTTGTACTTATGATTTTTTTCTGAAACATTTACAGCAATTTTAACGGTACATCAGAGGAGGCCTTTTAAATTTCAGCCTTTCCAGATATATATATATATTTATATTTTATTTTGCTGATAAAGAGATAACTGATAAGAGCTGATAAACTTATGGACTCCTTTCATCTTCCAAATAAGGCCCATATAAATGTAAAGGACATTCAAAGAATAATACGTCTCGCATCGTAATTTGTCATGTCTAAAAACATACCCCCTGTGAAGAATCTTATATGAAACTGCTGGCTTTTGTCTGTAACATTTCTAATTTATGTAGACATTTAACAAAAAGCTGCTGGCAAATTAACCAAAGAACAATACAGAGAGCTGAGCTGACAGGGCTAAAAGACTGTGTTTAAATAATACATTCATCAAGTAGCTTTCTGTGCATAAACAGAGAACCCCTGTATTTTGAAGTTCCACATTTTAATATTTATAAAGGTGCCAGGTTAATAGTAACAGTAACTATATGATTTCACACAAATTCAAGGAATCACTTGAAGAAATTGCTGAGTGAAAGCGAGTACATCTTGGTTTAAATTACAGCAGCGACGGATGTAGTAAATCAAACTTGAAAATCACTTTGGAATTTTTTGTTTATAGGAGTGAAAGCAATTTGAAAAAAAAACAGCATTTGAGTTAATTTCCAGGCAGTAAATCGGACACTGACTAATGCCAAGGAGACTAAGGCAGCACTGAAGAAAGTAAAATAAAATACAATTCCTTTTCAGATTTTATTCAAGCTGAATTCACACGTCTGCAGCTCTATGGCCAGACTCATTAAGTTTTCACTTCTGCAATGCACATGAAAGGATCATGTACCGTAATAATTATTCCTATTTAATTCTTCAAGAGGTAGAGCAGTCTGTGGATATACAGTATATTGCAAAATATAGTAATTTACTCTGCATTTCAATAGAACACTTTATAAATCCCTTGGCTTTGTGCAACAGCATGGGAAACGTCAAATGTTACAGCACTACAATATGAAGTAGTATATCAACAGTACTAGCATAATTTAAGAAATAGGGGTCCCAAATGGCAAACCTGCTTCAGTGCAATACTACTCAAAAACAGGTTACATACTGTATTTAACCAGGGTACATTATGTGTGTGTAGCCAATAGTCAAGCATTCATACGGACGTATATAGAGTCTATATACATATAAAAGTTTGTATTAGTTAAAAAATCTGCCAGCAGATGACTGGGCTTCATGGCTTCATGGGTGAAACCAGAGTGATTGCATTGTGTAGTGCTCCTGCTCATTTCTGAATGAAATCTTTCAGAACGGTTGGGCATTACATTTACAGCCGATCAGTTTCAGGACATCAGAGCAGGCTTGCTTACAGCTTAGCAGGAAATAAGTTGTATCTGTCATCCTGATAAGCAATGAGATATGTGTATTATGACAAAAATGGACAGCATTAAAGATCCTCTCATTTCTCTGAGTGCGGCCGATAGAAACTCAGACAGATGTAAATCTAATGATCAGGTTAAATAATAGGTAGTTTCACATCAAAGAAAGTCTCAGACAGGCTAAAAGGCATTATTAAAAGCTTTCCAAATACTGTATTAACATTTCCAATTCATAAGAGCACGTAAAGATATTCTGAAAGGATTTTGATGTTGAGTTAATAGTTCTCATCTCTTAACAGTGTGCGATAATCAGCCTTTCTTAAAATTTGATATACTTTTGCACTCTAAAGCTATTGCAGATAATAAGGAGAACAGGGTTATGGCTTTTATGAATGTTTACATGAGGTCTGACATGGACGGAGGGGTGACCGCCGCATATTTCCAATGAAACAATGTTTAGTGCAAACATCAGCACTGAGTAATAGTAATTGCTTGAGAACACTTCTATATTAGTACTGATTAAATAAGCATATAAAGTAATCAGAATGAAACAAAAATGTAATTAGTTTCCACTGTTGAAAAGATTTTTAAGGAACGTCTTGTCTTTTATTTTTAAATCTTTAGGGCTTTCATCACTCTAAATCTCCCTTCCCTCTATGAAACTTTTACTGGGTACAGCGCAGGTTTCATAGGAACTCTGTCACTTAGCAGGGATAAGCATCTGCATTCCATCCAGATGACACTGATTTAGGCAGACTGCAAATCTCTACCACCATTGCACAAGGAGAGTAATTGCTCATTTGGGTTCCACTGCTATATATATGTATTCATCACCGCTGAAATTAAAGAGTTGCCAAATGCACTTTTATGGGTCAAGTTACCAGAAGAGAGGCTGTAGCCTTTGAGGTATTTTAAGCTTGTACTTTTATTAGTTTGCATTTGGTTTCTGCATAGGTTCTCTTATTTTATGTTAGATGTTATCCTTTTTGTTAGTGGCTTTAAAGCTCAGTAGCAGAAGTTTTAAGGCAACTGGGCTGTAGTCAACACATTTCACATTTCAACTCCAAACAAATCCACAAAGCTGTTGTCATGAAAGCTGCAATCGTTTTTTTTTTTTGGTTCCAGGTGCACCGATATTTTATGTTACAAACATGACATAGATAAATCTGCTATGCTGATTTGTCATTAACAGAGATGATCCACAGCCAGTAGCATGTGTGTGACCTTCTCCAGACGCAATACCAGCTGCACACCTGCAGCATATGCTTTGCACCAGGTTGCAGATGATCCCATTCCGCTCATAGAGCAGGGACAAGCCAGTGTCCATTTGTTGGTCTCTGATCCCTACATGCAACATGTCACCAAAGCTCATTCTCATGTGGCAATTCAGCAGCTGTTGCACGAGCAGCACGAGGACGTGTGCTGTCCTGCTGGAATGTCATGTGTGGATGAGCAGAGCAGCAGGTGAAGTCCCAGGGCGTGTTGAATGCAGGGCCATGCTTTCAGCTTCTCATCGTTCTCTCCATCTTCTCCTGGCCAGACCATCACACTCCCCATGCTGTACTTCTGCAGTACACTCACTGACACTCTCCAACACAAGACCTTGATTTGTCATTACAGTGGACTTGACTCTACAGCTGGTGCTGGTGAGTAAACCTGAGGTGTTGCTGTCTTGACAAGCGGACCACATTACATTTCCTGTCTTTTCCCATCTTGATTTTCACGAGGCTTGACATGCAACAGGCTAAATCACTCCATCATCTATGCCCAATCAACTGTCTCGCTAATGAGGTGATTTAGATCTTATGTCACAGCCAAAATCACTTGAGTGTGTCAAGGACTGATTAAATAATCAAATCAAAATGATGCCAATAACATTTAAGCCAACATCCAATATCTACATACTTATCCTAAAAAAACAAAATGGATAAACAGAATGATGGTTTTCTTTTTATGCTCTGTATACTGTATAATGTCATAGATTCCCAGAATACTAAGGATACTGTTACATTATTATTTACTGCATGACATTATATTTTATAAATTCCCATTTGTAATTTCCACGATGACACTGACTTTGTTTAACTTTAGGAATGAGTCAAATATGCAGACACAGTACAACTTGATCAATGTGATCTTATTAGACTTTAAGTGGCATAATGATTTTAATGATGTGAACGGAGGAGGATGTAATCCATTCTTACCATTACTTGGAATACAGACAGGAACTGAGCCAGCCTGTATTACTGGTAAATACAAACTGGCAGTGTATTCTTCATCCGTGTCAGAATCATGAACTGGTTGGGTGGTGTCATTACTTAGCAACGGCCTCTGGTTGTCATGGAGATTGGGTGATGGAGGTTGGGAATGTGAATGCTCAATGACTGATGGACTGGATAAGGAGGATGGCATGGGAGAACCTAAAGGAAAAAAAAATAAAATAAAACAAAGTTCAAAATAAAGGAAACAAAAGAAAATTTAAGCCACTCTCACACACAAAATCAACTATAAAAGGCAACCCTTTAACTTTTCGTAGAATTTCACATCACTGCTAATTTTTGGCATCCATGATTCAAAATACTAAGGCTGTACAGTTGTTTTTTTTTATTTTTGAGTTCATGTTTTTTAAACATGTTCGTTTTTTTTTTAGTTATCAAAAGTAAAATAAACAAGGCATAACCAATCACTTATTAGACGGTTTCCCTACCACTTATGATTTAAAAACAATTCCTGAAACAGTACTCCGAAAAAATCAATTAAGCAACCTGGGACGTAACACTAAAAACATCACATTGATTTATTATCTCAGCTTATTTCCACAATTTAAATCAAGCATAATGTCACCTGCCAACCGGGAGTTTTCAAGTGAGATTCTAACAACTACCCGTTTACTATTTATGGATACACTTCCAAGAGATCTTCTGACGGGGAGGGGGAGACACCCTTTTCAGGGACTTTAAAAACGTGTACTTGCAGGGGATGTTATGGAAAGACAGAAGTGTTCCTACTTGGCCCTACACATGGCTAATTTAAATACCAGCTCCTAACATCTATTCATTTTCGCCGCTGTCGCGGAGGAAAGGTGTGAGCAGGGAAAATCGCAGCTCTACTCAATGGAGACTGCCCCTGAGCAGGAGCGACTTGGGTCTCTTGTTTGAAAATAAAACACGCGTGGAAGCTCCACAAATCGCTAAACGGTTTCTGCCCCCCTTCCCCCACCCAAAAAAACAAAAAACAATTCAGACGAATTACGTGGCAAAGCTTCTCTCCGGCAGGCTGAACTAAATGAGGAGGAGAAACAAAAAGAGCTTTGTGCTCTCAGCCAGGTATGAAACAGCTACCGCAGCACACAAATAGCATCTTGTAATTGGAAATCTGAGAGATTCAATTACGGCATTATTCCAAAATTATTCGAAATGACAAATCGCCATCAATCACGTTACGTCAATCGTGAGAAAATCGGAGTCTTCTACTACATTATTTTGGATGCATTACAAAAAATAATAAAAAGGTTTAAAAGAAAAGGAAGACATCCCAACAAATAAAAAAAAAAGATCCCTGTTAAGTACAGTATATTTTTTTTGTATTTGGACTCCTTAAAACCCTGCTGCACCAATATTTAAAACATTTTATGAACACTGAGGTTATTTTGCGTTATAGACAGCACATGTTCTATGTGAAGCACAAATGTGATTGTACAACACACTCTAGCTGAAACAAAGTTCATTAGTTTATCTAATAAATTGATTTATTAGTTTTCACTGCAGGTTTGGTTAACTAGTCAAGCACTGGATATAAATTAGGGTGGATATGGGCTAATGTTTGGTAAACTTTAATACTGTAACAAAGATAGTGGAGTATCTGACTGCTTTTTTTCTAAAGTTGGAGGAGTTCATTTACTACGTTGAACTGCAGTAGTTATTCTATTTAATTAGCGATGATACACTTTGATTTGATGTTCAAGCACTAAAATATAACCAAAATCAAATTTAAAATAATATTTTATTACATGTAGTTAGGTCTGCTTATGCAGGAAATCTTACAACTTCAGTTATTAAGTGTTTGATTTGTGATTAAAAATACCAAAGAAGAATATCCCAGGACCACAAAGATAACATAACATAACAGGGCCTTTCACATTAGACAACTAACAAACTTTCTCAATCTAAATACAGTATACAGATGTGTTTTTTACCACTGTGTTTTCTATGAAGAACGTCAGACTTGCCATTTCACCCTTTCAGAGGTTTCCATGGTTTTGATAAAAGACGAGACTTCAGGAAATACATTCTTAATCTTTCAGCTACTGCACTTAAACCAAGCCACAGCTCTTTCAAAAGCACAGTAACAAGGAACATAAATCTCAGAATCATTTTTATTACAGCACAGACTGTTTTGTGCCTTTTACCTATATATGTCTGTTCTAGTAAACAAATTATAATCTTTGGTTACATCACACACACACCCATTTTGCATCACCTGGCCCAGCTCTGCTTAGTTAAAATCAACTCGGAAAAATCTCCACAACTGTGCCTTAGCTCAGCTTATTTGTACCAGTGACTGCTGTCCCAAGATACAACAATTAACTTACATAATTCATTATTGTTGGTAAGGATAAAACTGCCTCAAGAAAAAAAAGGCAGCTCTATTTTAATTAATTCAAGTTTTATTATTTACAGAGGAGTGAGCTTTCACTGTATTGATGAGAAGAAAATGAAACAGAGTAAGGCTTAAAGAATACAGTTAATCTCCATTACTTGCAAACAATGTGGGAAAATAATGATATTTAACTGTTTCAGGACCATAGTTCTCCAAAACAGATCATTTATACACAGAAAACATTAAGCACCATGGATATTTTGATAGTGTTTTGGGCTTATCATAGACCTCCCTAAGCAGATTAAGGTCTCAAGCAGGATGCTCTGTAAACATTGAGCCACCAGAGATGAAAACATTCCAGCTAGTTTGTAATGCAATGCCTAAAGAGAAGATACATAAATCAAGCTGCCAAGGTTACTAATTATTATTAGCAGTTAACGTAGCTAATACTTTTATCCAAATTGCCTTACATCTGCAGGTGTTTATACAGCTAAATATCTTACTGGTGCAATAAGGGTGATGTAGTCTGCACTAGGGTGCAAAACTACCTGTCTCGCCTGGGATTTCAACCGGCAACCTTCCAGTGAGTGCACAATCTTAAAGTAAATCTAAAAGTATGTATGGATGTACTGTAGCTGATGTAAATATCTGTACAACCATCTTTGTCAATAAATACACAGTCTAACAAATCCACTGGTGCTAACTTCTAACCACTTACGGTTTTAGCCAATAGCACTTCTGAGTTTTGATTTAAAAAAATAAAATAAAGGTAGTGACCCTGTCCTTAATGACTTGCTGAGAGCTATCGATTGTTCTGGGACTAGGTGAAATTTGTAGATCCAAAAGAAAAACACAATACAATTTTAAATATGGTTCTTGGCATTTGCTGTCAGAAGACGTAAAAGAAAATCTTTAGCCTGTCGTGAAGATTTCAATGCAATTTACTGAAAGCTAACTGTCCATTATGATTCTCAGCAGTGTATTTATTTTGACTCTATGTGTTCCAAGATGACGGTTCTTTCCCTACATAGGTTCACAGGTACCGAATGGCTTTAAATGGCTTCCCCACTGCTACATTACCCTGTATTGCATACTTGAGCACTGTAGGACCGTTTTAAGAGTGGAACCCGAGGGCACTGGTTGATACAAGAGTGGAGAAGCATTTAATAATTGTTCTGAGCTGGCAAAGGTTTTCCAGAGGGGCATACAGAGGCAGATGACTAGAATGGGGAACGCTGGCATTAGGGGAGCATGTGCAGTATAATCTGGCATTCCCAGGTTTTTTCTTCTCCAAGGCTGCGGTCTCTGTTCCCGAGTGCATGCTCGCTGTGGGGCCGCTTGCATCCCGCCGGCTAACGAAGACAGTTGAGGGTGGATGAGAAATAAAGGAAAGGGATCAAAAGATATTGACCCGCTTGGCGGCTGAAATATGTTCAGGCAGTTATAGTTTTAAAGAGCGGGGTATGTGTTGGGCTCCAGCTGTTCGACCAAATGGATTATGAGATTCAATTAAAACAGCTGCCATGCTCTTCAGCTGGTGAAATGCAATCACAACAACTCGGAAAATGAATTATTTACTTCACAGTGGACTCCTGCACAATAAGTTTTACAATGAACCATAAACTGCGTTTAAAGCTAATCCCTGCTTGCTGAATTCCAGACAGCCAAAAGCAGCCTCGCAGCCCTCACAGACACACGAGCAAACCCACCCAAGAAGAAAACACTTGCCTTTTGCTATAACTGCACTCTACTGCAAAGCTGTGGTAATGGCACACAGTTGTAACCCAGCTCTTCTTTCAGCTCATCCTGGTTTTTTTTATCCTAACTGCACAATCATTTTGTCTGGTAGACCCCCTGCTCACTCCCCAACCTGTTTGAACTGGCCTTGGTATTTATCTCTCTGCTGGATACTACAGGCTTGTACAGTCATCCCGTGGTGACAGTTATCACTTAATTAAAACTCTCCATGCAAATGTAACTGGAGCATGTAGCTCTATGAATTGATAGAAAAAAAAGAAATACACAAAAAGGCCGAGTGGTGTAGATGCCCAAGCAACCACAGAACAACACACCAGGCAGGACAATGGGCAGTTATGAATGTTATATTTCAATATGAATGGATACAAAACAAACCCATATGAAAGCAGCTCTCTACAACTGATGAGCTCATTAGAATTGGCTAATGAAAGCTTTATCGTCAAATGAAAAGTGAACTAGACCCAATAGGTCTTACAGTGGAGTGGATACTGGGTACATTACAAATCTTGAATGCTTCTTATCCTAATGGCCTGTGAAGTTGTCAAAATCTGTCCCCTCTGTCTGTTTGAAGGCCTATCTCGCATTTTTCAACTTATAAACATGTTCCAGTTACCGTTCAAAGCCACACCAGATCATCCTTGTGAATTTTACTTGCTCAAGAGCTGAAACAGTTTGTGTGCTCCCGGAAAAAAAAAAAAAAAAAAAGATTGTTTTTGCAGATTTTTCTCCTGCGTTACAGCATGAAGAAAAGGTCAGCTGTCCTATAAAGTTGACAACCTTTTGACATTTCTCTCATGTCTGATCACTTTAATGTCTATTACTTCCCACACAGGTGGTTTAATTTAGGTCTACAGCCAAACTGACCGGAATGGACATTGACACTGGAGAGTTATCGAAGCACGGTGGGCTGGTAGGAAACAGATGGGCTTGTATGCTCTCCCCATGTTTGCGTGGGTTGCATCCTGGTTGTCTGGTTTCCTCCCACAATCCAAAGACATACTGTACAGGTAGGCCAACTGTCTTCTGGGAACACTGGCCCTGTGCATGCCCCCTGATGGACTGG